GCCGACAGGAAGCCAGATGGCGACTGGAGCCCTCCACAATGAAGACTGAAGAACAACTTGTCTGTTCCCCTTCCCCAATTCCCCAACACTGTTCCCCTACCCCAATTCCCCAATAAAATCTTAAAAAAAAAAAACATAAAGAAAACAGTTCCCCAGATCAAGCAACTGTAGATTGAGCTTTTAGTTCCAGTTATACTGGAATGAGTCAAGCTCTCTGCTTTTCTGGACCTCAGCTTCCTCAAGTACAGGAATTAGCAAATGTGAATGCATCACCCCCCTCCAAACCACAGAGGAGAGGGGAAATTGGGCAGGATCTCTCAGCATTGAGCCCTGAAAACTTGACCTTTGAATAAGAGAGAGAAGTGAAATGCAGATGTAGCCACAGAAAAACAAGCCAACAGATAAAAAGGCAGACATCCTGAAAGATTCCTTAAAGGGGAACAGGGAGGTGAGGCTGCTCTGAGCAGTCAGAGCTCCTCATCTAAAGCTGAAAGCAAGCTTCAGTCGTGTATACTAAAAAGTCCTGCCTTTTACATTCAACTGGGCTCTCACGGACTTTGGCAAGAGGTTTATTCATTTCTCAGCACACTGTCAGAAGCACCCACTACGTACCACACACTGTCATGGAGGGGCTTGCACCTCCCTGTACTCCTCCTACAGACAACCCTGTGAGGTCACTGTTATACCAGTTTTGCACATGCGGAAACTGAGGCTCCAAAATTTTGAATGATCTGGCCCATGAGAAGCGCTCTGCACTGCTAGGATTCCAGCCCAAGTCTCTGACCCTAACTCTGGAATCCTTCCTTTCCCTCCTGGCTGCCTCAGCGGTGCCAGGGGCCAGTTTTACCTCCCTAGGCTGGCAGCAGCACTACCGTGCAGTGCCCTCCCAATCTCAGCAGGCGCCCCTCCTGTTTACCAAGACCTACCTTCCCTGCATTGCAGGCCCCCTCCAGTGCCTCGCTCAACCCCTGCTTTCCTCCTGTCTCCCAGGAAAGGCAGATGCCAGCTTTTTTTCTCCTGCACCTGCTCTGGCCTTTCCTCTGAAACCCGCCTTGTCGCATGTCCATTCTCTCTCACTGTCCCCCTCTTTTGTTTACCGTACATGTCTGGGAGGGGGATTTGGAGAACTGTCCTGAAGAAACCTTCCTACAAAGCTGCCATCTCCTCCAGTGATTTTTAACTGGCACACTTCTGGATCCAGTGTCTATACCCCCAGCTGCCGCTGTCTTGGCACCACTCTCTCCTTCATCCCTTGTAACCTGGATCCCATGACCATCCTTTACAGACACTGCTCTCAGTCTCGGTCAATGGCCTTTTCCCATCATCCTCTTGGGATGCTGGCCCTTCTCAGAAATTCCTGCCTGCACCTGTTCACCTGCCTCCCTCAAGGGCTTGCCCACCTGGCAATCTTGGTACCATAGAGACACTTGAGGGCAGGAAATGCTTGAGGGCAGAGGAGGTTAAAATATCTCAAGTCTCCAAGTCAGCCCTGTTTAAGAGATTCAGCCTCTTTGAATTTGGTCCTTGTCTTCTTTGGAATGTTTCCCCATGTGGTTGGTGTCGTAAGAGGAACCTGGGCCCACCTTCCAACAGAGATATGTCCCTCCCACCATGGTCTGAGTCACTTAGGCCCACATGTGTTATCTTGTCCAGCCCACCAAGCCTGGAACTTCTAAGTCAGGGTTGAGACAACACCCTAGAGTCCAATCAGCCAGGAAGGCGGGTGGGGGTGTGGGGTGTGTGTGTGTGTGTGTGTGTGTGTGTGTGTGTGTGTGTGTGTGTTGGGTGACATCGAAGGAAAGAAGTTTGAGGAGGCACAAAGGATTTGGAATTTATCCCACAGGAGCTCCTGGGGGCTATTGACAGGTTTTACAAGGAGAAGTAGTCCATTGGTGACTGATTAGATGTGATTACATGTGGGAGGAGTGAGAAGTCTGAAAGGATTTCTCTAGGTCTCCGGTTTACTGAATGTTAGAACTCCAGACTCCCTATTTTAGTCGACTGTGTATTTAGGCTCCTAACCTGCAGGTGGTCTTTGTTTCTTCCCCACTCCAAATCCACTTAGCGTCCATTCTTCAAGTCCATGTCTGATAAACCTTTCCCTTCTTCCTGCCTGCTGTCACCCACCAGCTCAGACCTCCATCCTCCAGTTTATTACAATAACCTTCTCACTAGGCTCCTCACCTCCCATCTCTCCCCAGTCCCAATTCTTTCTGCAAGAGATCAAATTAATCTCCCTAATACACATAGCTGATCATGTCAGTCCCTTGCTCAAAAATCTCAAATAGTTCCCTGCCAGCTGCAGAACTACGTTTCTCCAAGTCCTTAGCTCAGCCTCTTCTTCCATCATCCTCCCAAGGGCCACGTCCCACCTTAGGACCAACCTCTTAGCACGCACTTGTTCTATCTAGATTCTCCTCCACAAAGCCTTTCAGATCTCCTCACTCAAACGTGATTCTTAATGGATTAAGACGGTGGCCATCTGCAAACCAATGAGAAAAGACTTAGGAGAAATCAGACTCACAAACACACCTTAATCTTGGACCTCTAGCCTCCAACCTGTTAAAAATAAATTTCTGCTGTTTAAGCCAAAAAAAAGTAAAAAAAAAGTGAATCTTTCTCCCCCTACTCCTAAAATGTTTTATTTGGACTACTCTTCAGGTGCTTTATTCATTCGGTCATCCCTTCATTCCTTCAATCATCCCTTCATTCCTTCATCCGATGAATACAAGGCACTTACTATGCTACACATGCACTGGTTTGGATCGGAGCTCTCAGTATACTTATCTCACTTCTCCTAAGAGACTGAAACTCTGACAGCGAGGAGGGAGCCTCTCGTATCTATGTGTGTCCCCAGGAGCCTCTAAGCCCCTGTGCACAGCAAACCACAGGTAACCCAAAAATAAATTGGCTGAAATGAATAGAGAAATTATCATACGTTTCCTTAAATAGTAAACTGCCTTAAGTGCGCGCAAAATCAATTTCAATGATAGAGATTTAAAGTATAATTCAATATTTTTCCTGGAGCATAGTAACTATGACAAGGCAGGTGCACCCAATACACTTGATGAGGTTCTGATTCTCACAACACCTGCCAACCCCTTACTCCTGCATCTCCCACTCTGCCTCCCATCCACACATTCACACCATGTTATTTTTAGTGGAGCAGCAGTTCTTGGCCTGTTCTAATGGGAGAAGGAATTGATGGAGCTAGAACAACTACCTACAGCCAAGAGTGTGTTCTGAGACATTCTATTCTGCCCTCACATGCAGCCCTCCAATACCTGTATCAACTTGTCCCCCCACCAGAAATCACAGACCAGAAAAGCTGGCCCTGTAGAAATACCAGGGCCCTAGAGCCCAAGTCCAAGGCAGGCTGAGTGTGGGAAACCCCACTGAGAAAGGGCCAGGAGCACTGAAGGTCCAGCCATTCCGTGACCACCTACAGCAGCTTCATCATTATCCCTCAAAGCACCCTACCTCTGTGGGAGGGGAGAGGCCAGCTAGCTGCGAGAGGGATGCAGGCCCTTCCTGCCCCAACACTCCACCTCCAGTCCCAGGGCAGGTCTGCAGGTCTGGAATGCCCTGGTGCCTGCTATTCCAGTCTCCGCGACCAGTCTCTGCCAGACCTTGTCCTCTTCACACTCCAGTGTCCCTTATCAAGGTCTCTGCACGGATAAGGGCTGCTGAGGACAGACTTCTGGCAAACTCCAGCCAGGGGCCCTGGACCCTCCCCTTAATCAACTCAGCATTGGGAGAAGACAAGCAGCCCAAAGACCTAAAATGTCAATGCAAACCAGGGGATGGGAGGGAGGGAAAGAGGGAGGGGGGG